TACAGGTAGGCAATAAAGATTTTATTCCTGAAAGATTCTTGGAGATTTCTAAAGTATATCACTCTATGATACTGTTGGTTTGATTTCTTGCTCTGTCATTGGTCAAGCATAAATATGTTCCAAGTTAAATTCCACTTGCCTAAAGCTCAGTGTTGTAATGTATTCTGTGGAGGTCCATGCACTTTGGTTAAAACTGTGACATTGTCAATAAAAATACAGTGTTCCATTTATACAGCCACACGGGATGCATTAGTGACTGAATTCATCAAATTGAGAAGCAGTTGGCATTGAGTCCAGCTTATAAATTATTCCTAACTTCTGTTGGAAGACAGTCATCATGGTCATGCATGGACTAAACATAGCATGGCAACTATGCGATTACCGAATTCATAGAAATTCAAAATTTATAGTCTACCACTCTGTGGCAGTCACTTTTCCGTCTTCGTTTGTCATCCTTTTCAGGTTCCTAGATTTTTTGTGAAAAACAATTTTTTGGGAATACTCTGCTTTGTAACACCTCTTCCACAGATTCTGTCTTTTGATTAGCCACTCAATGATTGCTATTTTTATCAACCACTAAAAACCGATCAAACACACAACCCAAATAACAAACTAAACTAATAACTACACCATAGTAATTGGTAATTCTCTTGAATGCGTAGTTCAATTTTATTTGAAAAGTGTACTTAATCTTTTATATTAATCATCTTTTTTAAACATATAGCATCAAGCCATGTCCATGCCATCCAAATGCACCAGGTTACACCAAGACAGTTTAAAATTTGATAATAATAACTGACTCCTATTGAAATGCAATATCTGCAGAAAAATAGTCAATAGCATACACCTGTTTTATACTACACCAAGGTGTTTATGACTTTACCTGGATGTGCAGTTTTTAAATTCTAATTGAAAATAGTTCAGGTTGTTGTTTATCTTCAATATTAAACATGCTTTTGCCAGGGTTCATGTAAGACGCACAGATAAGGTGGGGACAGAGGCCTCATTCCATGGTATTCAGGAATACATGGTGCACGTTGAGGAGTATTACCTGACGCTTGAGAGGACTCAACGAGTCCAGCAGAGACGAGTTTATCTTGCCACGGATGATGCTAGTCTCCTGGCGGAGGCGCGGAGAGCGTAAGTTTGGACATTGAGTAACCAATTAAGGTGCAGGATTTTTTATGAGCTCATCAGGCAGTGACGTAAAAGGAGAAGTTACTGCCCTGATGCAGCAGCTTTTTGGTCACGGTTCGTTTCTCACCAAGTTGCCATTGGCTTTGCAGATTCTTATGATAATAGGACAGACAGAACACACAGCATGTGTGAGTAAGCCAGATAAGATGTCTGATTTCTAAATTGGTTTCTAAAGCTTACACATGCTTAGATCTCATTTTATTGGTCTTGGTGTCAGTTGTAAAATAAGTGGAAATACATGTAAATGAAACATTCATAAATGTTTTGCAGAGATATAGGGACCACAGTAGACACCTGGTGAATGATAGTTCTTGACAGGAACAAACATGGGTCACACATTTCCAGTATAAATC